TACGGCTATAAACACTTTCCTTTTCCTATTAACAAAACATCCCCTTTTTCTTCGCTCTTCCGGAACCGGTACAGAAATTGGTGCTTTTTTTACGTTGTTAACCTTAGTTACTGGGGGGTTTCGGGGAAGACCTATGTGGGGCACCTTTTGGGTGTGGGGATGCTCGTTTAACCTCTGTATTCATCTCGTTCCTTATTTACCTGGGGTGCACTGCGTTTTCAAAAGCTTCCTGTCGAACCGGCTTCTATTTCAATCCGTGCTGGACCGATCGATATACCAATAATCAAGTCTTCAGTCAATTGGTGGAATACATCGCATCAACCTGGGAGCATTAGCCGATCTGGTACATCAATACATGTTCCTATGCCCATTCCAATCTTGTCTAACTTTGCTAACTCCCCCTTCTCAACCCGTATCTTGTTTGTTCTGGAAACACGTCTTCCTATTCCATCTTTTCTCGAATCTCCTTTAACGGAAGAAATAGAAGCTCGAGAAGGAATACCAAAACCTAGTTCACTCGCCGAGTCTTTGTGCATCCATGGCTGAATGGGTTAAAGCGCCCAGCCGGGGCGAAAATTCGTAGGTTCGATTCCTGCTGAATGCACTTGGAACGTTCAGTTCAATCGCTGCTCACGGAATTTAAACATATAGCTCACCCTTATAGCTTATGGGGCACTTCACTCGCTCAACACTCGTTCAAAACATCCACTCGTTCTTCAGGAAAGAAAAGGGATAGATGACTGAAAATCCCGCTTAGAGATCGCAACAATAGTCAGAGTAGGGAGTTCCCATCCATCATTTCCCCCGTTTTACCTTCAAATTACGGTTGATCCGTCGGATTGAAACCTCCATTAGAGATTCGGCAACTAAGGACGAGATTACCATAGGCTTTTATGTCCCTAATGTCTCCTTTAATAAGGTCGCCTTGACCGGGCTGGGCTCTTCACCGTATAACCTTTACCCGAAAAACTGGAGCACAGCTATACTTTCATCGCTTTCACTAGAACCAGAGTCATAGGGGCACTTTTTTGTTTTGCCTTCCTTAAGTCCAGGAGGAAGGACTCCCTATGTTTTTTCGTGGAGCGCAGAATTTGCCTTAATCGGCGAGAGTATATACAATCTATGTCACTGGCAAGAGCATGATTGAGGGCTTTATACTGTAGTCTGTAACTCTTCAATTGGTTATTGGCTCTACCCCTAGCCCCTTCATATTCCGCATCCTGCTGCTTCTTTGCTTGCTTTTCTCGATCAAGCATTCCTGTGCTTAGCAAAGAGGGTAGTAGCATTTTTTTGACAATAATGAAATTTTCCGGATAAGCCGGCACAGCTCTTGCTTGCTGTCTGTATGTGATAGGGGTCTGGTCAACTGCCCGGCCACCTCTTTAGCTCATCTCTTGTCAACGCTAGCACTTTTTAATAAATGATGCCATTCCCGACTCGCGAAGTGAAGCTCAATTTCTATTCATTACTTCAGCGCTAAGATGTAGAACTGGATCGTATATGGGATCAAGAGATCTTCAATCTGGAATCTCTATATATATTATATTGTAACCCTTCTTAGTGAGAAATTATTCTACAGACTATGTAGGGGAATGCACGCACTATGGGGACTCCATAAAAGAAATTTTATTAGACTTAGGAAATGAAACTTCCATTCAACTATAGTCGAGAGGAAATAAGTCTCGGCGGGCACTAAAGGGGAAGCTTAGAGACGGAATTCAAATATAAGAATAGAGGAGTACGCGGGGGGTGAAGTAAAGATAACTCTAGCAATATAGACCGTTCCTTAGCACAAGCGCTAAGCGATAATAATACCTGCTTCCCATTCATTCTTTTATAAGGATGCTCTTCGGCTGGTCAATAGGGCGCGTCCCTTTCGCTTCTGTAATAGAGGCGCTGTAATGGGCGCGCTTGGCTAACGCATAAAAACCTTGGTCCGCTTTCATTGGTCTAGTCCGGTCATTGCTTATCTCTTTCTTCTCTATCGGGGAATTGGGGGAAAGAGTGCACCAATTAGGGGAGGTGAAAAGGCAAGAAATAGGGAAGTAGAGTAGTTGGCACACGCCGGTCAATCCAGTACGTACGTCGCTTTCGTTCTTTCCATTCAATATCCCATTACCGGTCGCATCTGTTCTATTCAGCCAAGCCAATCCCTTGCTGCTTGCTTCATCCCGCCCTGCCTGGTCATCGGTCGTACCCTATCTTGAATCTGGAATATTCTTTGTGTCGGCATCTGTCCCACTGGCTGTTGAAGGTGCTGGCTGATGAAAGACATCCCCAGAATGCCCCCCTCCGTGCCTATCTCACTTGTTTACAGCTCTTATTGGTCTTTTAGCGCTGCTTTCACATGATGCAATATCTAGGGCCTCCTGGACCTGTTCTCTCGCCCAAGCCTCATAGCATTCATATTCCAAGCACTAAGTGTATTCCCTGCCTGCTCAGATGCGTCAATCCGCCTATACCCTTTTCCTCGCATAGAGAGCTGTAGGTAGGAGGGAACTAATACTTTAGATAAGGTTCATTGCTATTTGCTCTCCCGCTACGCTAGCACTTAAGAGACTCTCTTAGCCCAGAGTGAGGGATCACAATAAGGAGTAACCAAAGTAGGCAGTACCGCGGTACCAGTCCACGACTACCATTTCTGTAACTTAACTTCCCTGCCCCCTGTCCACTCAGTCTTCTTTTCGGACCTCAAGAGCATTGAGTAAAGGGGGGCACGGGGGCGGGAAGATCTACTCATTCAAAGGCGCTATTTAGCCCTCTATTTATTCTCGCAAGAAGAAGAGCTAGTGAAATGGGCCCTTTCTTCATGCCAGCGGGGGAAAGAAAAGAGGCCCCGCTGCGAGAGGAGAGAGTGATTCAGCTGCTAACAAGCGCAGGTTTTTCATTAAATGAATGGTTATTCGGGAAACGTCTGTTGATGAGAAGGTCATACATAGTAAAAAAAGTAAACCTGGGGGCGGATTCAACCCGGGCTCCGTTCGAAGAGACGAATAAAGGTCCTTCTCCCCCACATGCTCCTTCCCATGAGCAACTCGGTTGGCTTCGTGAACGAGAGCGCTGATCACCCTCACGCGGGAAGATGAACATTGAAAGGACTGAAAGGGTAGCGACGAAATGTAGATGTTGATTTTTGAGGTCGCGTACTTTAGTTATAATGCCTTCTACACGGTAGAAGCTTATACTTTTCTTTGGTCCCGGCCGACCAAGCGTAACGACCACAGAAGGTACGGCCGGAGAATTTTTCTCCAAGTCAACAGCATGTCGGGCAGGTCAAAGGTGATCCTCCAATCCGGGGAGAATCGAGAGGTCATGATAACAGTTGACGAGTGAGGCGAGGGGCTTATTCCTCTCAATCGACGAGGGCTTGAGTCCCCTACGGCCAGTACAATGCGCTAGTAGCATCTTCTATAACGCTGGCATCTTCTATAAAGAAAGCTGTCCTGGGGGACTCCGTCTCGTCTTTAGGGACTATATTCATCGTAATTAAGCAATCGTTTCTTGCGTTATCAGTTTTTTGCGTATAATAATTGCTGAACGTACGGCTTGCGGTACCGCTTATGGTACTGCTTGCGGTACGGACTGCTCTTCCTGCTGTTAACAGCGCTTTCCTTTTCTCTTTTTGGGGGGGTTTCAGGCCTAGCTTGACGCGGCAGTAGGGACTGCTTTTCTTTCCGTTGCGGGCTGGGATTGCTGTCATGCTTTTAGCTGAGTGCTTTCCGACCGTTTTCTTCCCGAAGTCAGACTACTACCGAGCTCCGCACCAGGGCTCAAACCATGCCTCAAGGAAACAATAGCCCCCACAACCCAAAGGCTTTCCGAGAGATCCGAGAGACATGGTTCAACTAATGGTGCGCTATCCTTCTCCCAAACATTTCTCAGCGAAACCAATGAGTACAACTTTTTAAACGGAAACTACGAACAAGATCTTAGAGCTGTCTCAATCATCCACAGCTCCGGGATTAATGTGCTGTTTTTTTATGCTGGAGTCATGAATCGCCTCTTTGCACTTTTTTTTTAACCTTTTTTTCCGTGTTTCCTCTTTTTAGTAGAAAGCGAAATGAGAATAATGAGAATCGTAGTAGTAGTTCCACGCCCCCTCTCGCCCCTTAAACCAACCAAAAAGGAGAAGGCGCTTTCCGAAAACGATCAAGGCAGGGATTTCCGGTAGTCATCTATCGCGACAATGGATCAACCCGATTTCCAAGCTAGAAGAAATTAACAAAAATTCAAACTTGGAAAGACAGATCTCGCTAAAAAAAGTGGAACTCCAACCATTATCCTTATGGAAACCGCTTGCCACCGGGATCGGCCAGTTGCCCTTTCATTTTGCTTCGGCAATAGATCAAAATAGAGGCAACAAAGCCACCCCCTGGATCGCGTTATTGGATTACGCCGCAAGACAAAGTAGTCGTACAAGGACACTCGGCTTATCAGAGGCAATGGCCTTCGCCTACGTCAAAGACAGCCGATTCGCCCTACTAACATGTCTTCTGCTGGGATTGGGTGTCTGGTGGTACCTTCTGCCGGAGCCCCCTATTGGTTTTAACCAACGGCTTGCTGCTCACCTGAGTGCGCTAGTGCAATTAAGGTAGTTTACTTGCTCGACCATAGGGAGAGGTAGCTTGCTTACTTAGTGCTTGCACTAAGGAAGCCGCACAATGCCAAATGAGGTCTCTGGGCTTCCCGTGTATTCATCCAAATTAGATCCATGATAAAGTTATGGACACGTCCACAAAACCGAAAGTCTTTCGATCCCATCAATGCCAATGGGTGTGCTTAAGAGCTGGTGGCAACCGAATACCTTTCACACCTAACCCGGGCTTTTGCCAACAACCTTTCTTTCAAAATCCACTTGGTGAACCTATCCAAAGTCCAGGAACAGCTACAAAGGCTTCAAGAGACAGTGGCTCGAAGCATTAAGAGGAAATAGAAAGATTCGTATGAAGAGGTCCTCAACCCTTAGATTTGGAAGGAATGAGAGGGCCGGGTAGCTGAACCTACATAGCGAAAAGGGGGATCCCCTTAGGGCAAGCACTAAGCAAGTAAACTACCTTATTCGCGAGAATTTCCTCCCTCCGGTGCTGTCTCCTCACTAAGCGCTCTTCTTGTCGTTTCAACCTTTCCTTCATATCTAATTTGGCCTGAAGTCTTTCTTTAGCTTGATCAGATAATGGTGCTCCACTTTTGGACATAGAGTTTGATATCACCCAATTCTTCGTTTACTAACGTAGAACTCATACTACGCCAGTAGGGGCTAATCAAAGTAAAGAGAGTCCAATCTCTGAAATAGAGCTTGGTCTCTCCATAGTAGTATAGTATACTAAGGCGTAGGTTATGACTTGATCCAATAGAGTCAGAACACCTTTATATCTAAAAGAAATGGTGCTCAATGAAACGATCCAGATTCCGCACTATGCTGTGGGTTTGGGGAGAGAGCTGCTCTGCGAAGCTGGGCGTTCAGTGTTCTTATGGAGGAACCATACTAGAAAGAGAATAGAAAAGGCCTTCACTTCAAAAAAGAGCGGGGGAGTGATGGGCAACCCTTAGTCTATATGTTGCTCGTGAGCCGCCAAGTACAAGTCTCGCAACAGTACTGGCGCAAAAGGATCGGTCCTTCACTTGCCGATCGTTCGCGAGTCGAACTCGCTCTCTTGCCACGCCTTTCACTCACTCGCTTGAGTCGGGCTCAATCACTCTTTTTGTTTGGAGGATCATTCGTTCTTCACTCTCTTTATATTACCCGCGGGGAGCGCAGCAACCAAGGTGCATATTATCATATAGAAACAAGCGAACCGTAGCGATTCGTACTACCGGAAAAGTTTCGCTAACCGGCAGGCAATAGAGTCCCGCCGATATGCGCAAGCAAGCGTAGCGAATCACATAGATAAGCCCCTACCTGCCAGCGCGCGTATAGATAGGGCGAGCGAAGCGCGAAGAGGATGGATGTCTGAGCGGTTGAAAGAGTCGGTCTTGAAAACCGAAGTATTGATAGGAATACCGGGGGTTCGAATCCCTCTCCATCCGCGAAGTCATAAGTTATCTCTTGCGTTATCTATAGATAAGAACGAATCGGATCGACTCGACTGAATGGGTAGCTTGTGTTATGATATAGACGGAGGTTCTTGTGTTATGATTTAGTTAGGACTTTGTCTCCCTTTCGTTATCTTCCGCTCCCCTTGTATAGGTTGGGCAAGGGCCGGGTGGATTACCTTTGGGAGCTAAGCCGAAGATCTCGGTGGTCTTGTGAGTGGTTGATAAACTACGATTGCAGTTTTCTTTAGGAAGTCCCATAGCTGTGAGGCTTAACAGACAAAGAAAACGGTGGATACTTCCGGGTAGAAGGTGACGACCCTAATGAATCGACTATGAAGGTGGCTGTTAGCTACATCAGCGCTCAAATTCCTTCATCGTCCCTGGCTTCGATGATCAACCCCTGGCACATTTAGGTTTTGATCTTCGGCCATCCTGATCCTCAGGACCCAACACAATATTATTCATTCTTATATATTTCCTTTAAAAGATGCAAAAGGTGTTGATACGTCCTATCCACATAGAAAGCTTACCCTCTTCCACACATTATCGGTGGATGCTACAGCCGCTAACACTTTGGCTGCAGGAGGGGAATGGTTAAGTGAAACTCTCGACGTCTTGTTTGGTAAACGGGATGTTTACCCAGGCGCCGTAGTCTTGCCTAACCGTTCGGTCGGAGATACCTTTGTATGGTATAGCAAGCTGTTTAGCTACTTGTATCGATTTGCCACAGTGTGGTTAGATACAATGCGATGGCAGCCGCAGCTTGGCAGGATGGGAATGAAGGGAGAGGGAGCAGGGAAGAAAAGGTTATTCCCTATTGGCTCACCCTTGTATCAGGCCTCGGTACGGCCTATACATGATTGGGCCATGACGGTTTTGGCAAGGTTAAAAATGGGTGGTACCTATAACCAGACCCAACCGTTGCAGTACCTGATAGGAAAGAAAAAATGATTTTCTTTTGATCTCAAGGCTGCTACCGATTCCTTACCTGTTATCCTGACGTCCTGTATGATTGCAGGGTTGTTCGGAAATCCCTTTGCAACTTCCTGGACGTTCATACTTTGTTCTGTAGTCTTTCAATTACCATATTTAGATAATAAATAAAGGCTATAGGTCATCGGCTGTGACGTTCACGAAGGTAGTTTACTTGCTTAGTGCTTGCGCTAAGGGCTAGGGTTGCTTTCTCTGTTGGTTGAATTCGCCACTAGGTGGAATCAGACCTTCGGCTCTCGATTGCTGCTTGATTACCTATGTCGCTTGCGTTAAGCTTTCTTCGCTTTCAGTTCTCGGAGATGCACAGGTCGTGGATTCCAAAGCCTAACAAGCCAGGAAAAATGCGCCCTATAACACCATGCAAGAAGGACCTCATTGTCATGGAAAAGCCCTTTCCTTACTCTTCAATATAGTCTATGAGGACGTCCTTCTGACCCACTCTCATGGCTTTTGGAAGGGGAGAGGACCCATTACCTTCTTTGCGCATGTTGATAGTTGGGGGACAGTAGATCGATTTCTCAAAGCAGACATTGTTGGTTGTTTTGATAACATTGATCACACTCTTCTAAATAGAAGAATTGGTTTAGATATGGGTGAGAGCAGTGAGGGCTTTTGTAACTCAATTTTTCAGCTTTCTAAAAAACGGAAATAAGAGATAAAGAAGGTAAGACTTATGGCTCTTGTATAAAAGGGATCCCTCAGGGCAGCCCGTTGTATCCCGTCTTAATGAACATCTTTCTTCACCAACTTGATGTGAAGACGCAAGACTTTATGAGTAAAGAAGCGAGAATTAGGTATGTGCGCTACGCTGACGATATAGCTTTTGCTATTAAGGAAGGAGCCAACTCAGAAATGGTAAGCCAAGGGTTCAAGCAATTCTTTAATGAAGTCTTGACTGAGCTCAAACTGGAAGCAACTAGTTTTGAGCTCGTTCGAGGAATAAGCAAGCCATGCTCTACCTTAGTTCTCGGAGTCCTAATATAAATTCGTCCGGACAGAAACTTGGAGTTAAGGGCAGCCATTAATGGGTTAAAAAACAAATTGTTTCAATCAATCGACAACGACATAAGGAAGATACAAGGCAAACGCGTAAAACACTTTGAGAGAGCGCTCCTTCCCCGAGTATTCCAGTATCTCGCTCTCTATTCGTGTTGTTGCAATGCTAACGAGGTACTAGCTTTTCTACAGAATTCGTACATTCAAAAGTACAAGTTGTATCTTCAACTACATAAGAAGAAAAAGCCCAAGGGTAAGGGCGACACCGAAAACCTCCTCAACTTAAGAAGTATCAATACGCGCTTAAAGCATTTCCAACTATAATTGCGTAAGAAAGGAATTCATTGACTTCGAACAACAAAAAGGAGGTCAATGAGCACTAACTCTCTTCTCTTACCCTTTTTTTTTGGAAAGGAATGCTGCTATAAAGGAGGCGGAATTACTGTTCAGCTAGAGTATAATGCAGGATAGCCGCCGCTAACTAAATTCACACTATTTTCGTATAGAAACAACGGCACCAGTACGGCTTTTAGGGGGCCCTCTCCTCTCTTCTATTACTTGTTTGAGTTCCCCTGTCTCCCATCCTCTTTTCAAGTCCCACTCTTTTCCCGGTTAACAACGGCGGACCCTCTTAGTTATGTTAAATAGAGTCCCATCTAAGGGAACAGAACTCTTTAGTATCAAAAAGTCACATGGCAACCTATGCCCGAATCACATTCTTTTTTATTTGAGTTATCTTCTTTTATAGTCTTTTCTTTATTGGCTTCATCCCGTCCGTCCCATTATATCTAGTGCGTGTCATACTTTTTGGGTATAAGCCCTTAGCGCAAGCACTAAGCAAGTTCTTTCAGAACCTTACTTAAGGCCAGAGTACTTGAGCCTTGAAAAAGGATCTCAAATAGCCTTAGCGCAAGCAAGCACTAAGCAAGTAAACTACCTTTTTCGCTAAACCAACAAGGCATTCCATTGAATGAAGCCCACTTCCCTCCTAGAATGGAAAGCCGCTTTCGGGGGAGAACTCTTGCTCACAGGCTCCCCGAAACCAAGAGACGAGACAGAAGATGCATAAGATGCAGAGGATACTATGGATTCAGGGTGAGCCCCTATCCTATGTCTAGGAGTAGAGAAGAGAGCACCTTCACCCGGCAAAGCACTTATTTCCCGCTCTTCCTGCTTGGCCAAGATGTGTTAAACGAAACCTTCTTTAAAAATTTCTCTAAAGGTGGATAATGGGACTACAGGTCTGCTGCTTTTACTTTTTCTTTTTAGGAGAATAGAAAAATGTCGGCGAAAAGTAAAAGGCGGAGAATCCCTCGAAAAAAAGGCGGCAAATCGCGCAGAAGCTCTTTATTACTTTTTGCTGCGCTTGAACTGCAAGAAGAATCCAGGGATATTGTGTACCTAAATTCCACTTAAGGACCAAGACAAGCGGAGCCCAGATCCTGTTGAGGCAGAGTAAGAGGTAGTTTACTTGCTCGACATAGGGAGAGGTAGCTTGCTTACTTAGTGTGAAGCGCTAAGGAATGATCCCCGATTCCCAGATAGCAATAGCAATGCGGCTAAAGCGATGCTAAGCGCACAGACAGAGAAAAAAGGGATTTTATTTATTTCGCCCCAATTGCAATGGATTCGCGAGCAGAGCCAAGGAACTTATGTGTAGAGTTCTGAACTGATGTGTAGCATCGGGGCCGCGGGATCAAGCTTCGGGCTAGCTTAAGAGTGGTCGAGCTTGTTCTCACCCTATGAGAGAAAGATCAGGATTAGCTCATTCAGCATCTGGGGACGGATAAGAATTACAGAGGGGCGAGATACTTTCTATACTGGTTGTCGAAAAAAGAAGGAAAATCCTATCCCTGTAGGAGTACTTGAAAGGATATTACTATGTGGTTGTCAAGCTCGTATCTCAGAGGAGAGGGTAACGAAGTAGCTCGACTGAAAGGAGAGGGTAACGAAGTAGCTCGACTGAAAGGAGAGGGTAACGAAGTAGCTCGACTGAAAGGAGAGGGTAACGAGACGGAAGATGTGATAGTTCGGGGTGTCAACTAGAGCAAGCTATCCCACATGGAACGAGAAACTCACGCCCAGTAGAGCTATATGCGTTCAGAGCTGCGGCTTGCATAGAGCCGGTCTCCCATGAGCGTAAGATCCTATCGTCTATAGACATGACTCC